CGTGTCTTAAGCAGGGCACCGATCACAAAGCGTACGCGACTGTCATCCGACCCGGTTTCAGCATCTTTGCATCCCAGTGAAAAGGGTGCACATTCTGGTTATTGTCCGTCACACTCATACAAATGCATTTTGTATGTTAGTATGGCACAAACATATACAACAGAATAAATAAAATTAGAAATTATATACTATCTATATAAAATTCACATTTAATTAGAACAAATTTGTTGGCTCCTTTAATATTGGGGACCTTAGATGCAGCTCACTGAGACGTAGTAAATGTATAGAAGCGTGTATAAAAGACTATATTTACCTATGCGGAAAAATGTGGAAACCTTTTTAAATGCGATATTGATATTATATACTTGTATCTATTGCTAGTCATCAAACCTATCACATTCAATGACACGCCCAACTCGTGAAAAAAAAATATCAGAAGGTGATGAACTCTACAATTTTTTTAGCAACCTTACCATTTTACCTAAGATGCTGATTGCTGGCTAGATTTCGTTTAAACTATTACCCGAATGCTTTGTTACGGTGTAAAGTTACAACAATGGCTGTCTACTGCAGCAGATCTGTGGTTTTAAGTGGCATAATACCACACATAACCAACACATATTACTAACTTGTAGTTTTCACACCTGGTTTTATCTCTATATTTATAGTTGTTGTTTGTTTGGCTGTAATATGTTTGCCACATGATGTAGGGTGTGTGAAAAGAAATCTCTATATATTATTGTTATAGATGTTAAACGTGATTCACATAAATATAAACTGATATACATTATTTACATTGTTTACTGTTTATAATCGGTATATATAAGATAGATAATATAATATACATATTTTATAAATCTAAAGATATTTGTTAATTAACAAATACCGGCGTACTATGGGCCATATAACGAGTATGACGTCATCGCAGCCATCTTGGAATTGTTACGTCATATTAAAGTCAATGCGAAATTGTCCAAGGAACAAACATGCCAAGTTTCATGCCCAACGTACTTGAATTGGTTGTGCCTTAGGCTCTCTTCGATGAGCGTCGACCCCAAAATGAAGAAGAACGCCAACAACAATAACAATTACAAGATTAGTAGCGCTTGCGGCAAAGTCGCTGGCCGTATAATGTATTATTTGATCGGTACATGAAACCTGCTGTATGATCTCGTACTAGACAACCTGGCCAGTTATCTCGATTGACCACTCCACTACCATTACCAAAGGGGTGCATTTAATACCGAGATGAAATTGACTAATATAAAATGGGGTTAAAAAGTTCCATTTTCCTTTACCATTCGTGCAATGTGCTATGGAAGAAATTTTGTCCAGTGGGCGGTGTTTCCACCTAATATTTATTGAATTTCTGTCATAGGTTCTTTTACGTATACGGTTTTACATCCCATCTGCACTACTAAATATTTTACCCTGCCAGGCCTACAATTCTAACAAATAATCAACTGAGAAATTAACAAAAGAAGAGTGGAGACCGGATAGGCTTCCAACAGTTTTAAGATAGCATGCACGCAGTTACCTAGTAACTTGAAAGACTTTGACGCAAAAGGTTTATCCACAAGTTCCAACGTCTGTACAATCAAATAATCTAGCGTTATGGGACACCTTATAGTGTAATATAACAAAGCATTTTATTTTTTTCAGCGGCTATTGAACCGATTTACTCTATTTAAATTTATAAAATCCATTAGAAATTATGTAAAATCCGATTTCGGAGAAATACATCAATTCAATTTGTCCCTTTAAGGGGAGGGGACGGGGTAGCATACGTGTAGGTTTGATTTGATAATAAAGGGTTCATTAGCATACAAAAGTCTATTTATCCCATTGTTGTTTTATCTGCTAACATAAACCCACAAACAGTACGCTACGCTTTACAGGAATTGTATTTAGTCTTGGGGCCACTGTGGCTTATTGAGTATTGCGCTGTGTCACTAACCAGGGGATTCCCGGGTTCCCCGAAATCGATCCCGGTGTTGGCCGGGAAAGTTCCACCGTCTAGTTATTCGGTGCAGGCCTACACGTAAAAAAAGCCTTGACAGCTGGAATTCGATGAAGGGTAGACGGAAATGGACGCTGCCCATACCAAATTTCACCCATAGTACACTGTATGGCATATGTCCGTCTTTCATGCCTCCATTAGGACATTAAACCCCATTTCATAAAGGATGAATTCAATTTTAGAGTCTCCGCCATCTTGGACAGTGTTAGGTAAAAACGTTAATGCCCGAAAGAGATAAAGTCAAATTAAAATACACAAAAATAGACAAATCTAAAACTATGATAGACGGATAACATTTAAAGTTGAATCGACGTCTCGTGGTCTACATTGCATGTAATGTAGGGTAAAATTTTAACCTCGACGATCTTGGGTTACTGTTTCTTGGTGCCTTGTATATTCATTAAGATAAGAATATCATATGCATAAAGTGATTGTAAATGTCAAATTATAAATTACAACATATGATATGAACCAAGGCAACATCCCTAGAGTCATAATTATACACCGGTTTATATGATAATATAGATATATGTAGTCACATTTTCAATAAACACACCTAATACATCTTTCACTCAAATATCAAACATTGAACTGAAACACCCTCAGCTCTTAAAGGGCTCGGGAATAATTAGGTGTGTGTACTTTGAAATTGTTTATTTTGTTTCCAGAATTTAAATTCACAAATTGAAGAGAAAGTGATCAGCGACTGACTGTTTCTCTATCAGTGATTGTTTATTTATCAGCGATTGACTATTTCTTTATCAGCGATTGACTATTTCTTTATCAGTGATTGACCGTTTCTTTACCAGTGATTGGCCGTTTCTATCGGTGATTGGCTGTTTCATTATCAGTAATTGACTTTAAAGTGAAAATGTGCAGGAATGTCAGAAAAAGTAAATAAACAAAATTTCTAAGCTAATTATTAAAATTTCTTTTACATAAACAAAAATTATTTTTCGGTCAATGGCCAAACTTTTAATAATATGAATTCCCTAGGAAAATATGACGTTATTAGCGACATAAATGTGGGGTTATTAATCATGTTTATAAATGTAGGGTTATTATTCATGTTTATTAATGTAGGTTCTGGATAGAATTAGCTTTCTCATTACCAATATCTTGCAACATATTTGGTATAGTAGAAAACAGTTTGTGACACACGCTCACTTCAATATGATAAACTACCTCAAAATTTATAGGTTTATTTTTCTTTCGCTTCCATCTGTAGACTTCAATTATATGTAAGTATGAAATACATGTTGGCATATGGAACTAAGTGGCAGTAATTTAATATACATGCTAGAAGTTTCTTAAGTCGACCTTCATCTTCTTAGTAGAAAAAGGTTGACCTAAGTGAAAAGTGCCATAAATTATTTTGAAAATGGTGAAATTGAGCTTCCAGTTTAACGCTTAGAATGTTAAATGGAGCATATTTAAAGGGTGATCTTATACTTATATTTCTCGAAAATACGAATCTTATAAAATATATCATTGGACAAGGCTATCCACCTTGTTCTCCTTCTTGGGGCGACGCTCTTCGACGAAAGCCCAAGGATCCGCCAATTTAAGTACGATCGACGTGAAAGTTGGAATTTTCCTTGGACAATTGCGCATCGATTGATTTCACAAATCTAAGACGGTCCCTGGTCCATAGTACACCCTTTCTTGTAGCTAGTGACAAATAATTAAAGTGGTGTGTGACAATTTATTAACATATTGAAACTCCTTATGCTGTAGTTGTAGTTGTTGTAGTTACGGCTAAATAAGATAGTTTCTATTTGATAAACTGACACTCATATAGTTCATATGATAGTTTCTATTTGATAAATTGACCCTCAGATAGTTCACATTATCAGAGAATTAGTTTTCACATTATTCCGTGTAGCGCGGTCAGTGTTGGTATTTAAAATATAGATTAATGGTGTCGTTAAGGCAACAGGTTTGAGTATTTTAGAGCCTCTTTATTCAATTTTATCGTAACAGACACCGTGTTATTTATTTATTTATTTATTTTTTTTGATCTTGCCCATCTGCAAGGCGTTCTGAAACGGACTTGATTCCTTGTCATTTTGATAACAAAATAAGGGCCAGTGACGAAAAAAACTGCCTCATAAGAAAAGCCTAAATTCCTGTTACCCATACTGACCCGGGAATCCACTCGTCGTGTCGGTTTTCTGCCTGGAGAGGGAGGTTACCATCACAAACTTAGATAACTCTTAATTTGTTTTTGTGGTGAATTAAGGAGACCGATCACCCTGGGTAACTGATTGATAATCTCTGGTACGAGTAATAATAGTGTCAGTGTTTCTGATTGTATATATTATTTACTTAGGCTTCTTATTTGATTTTTTGTTGGGTTTTTTTTAGGGGCGGGGGATATAATGTATATGCTATCCTTGTATCCGTCGACATTCTGTTTTAAATACAAACTCAAGAATATTTTATTATTGATCAACCACTAATTATCTTTGTTCAATGTTTTAAAACTAAGAACAAGTTGACCTTAGTATTTTGAGTTTGGGGAGTAACTCAACTTATATTACAACTCCTGTTTTAAAACTTTTAACCGAGATCTTGTACTGCTGTCAAGTTATAAACGTATTCTAGTCTGTTTAAATTTGTGCACCATGTGTGTTTAGACTTGTTTCTAGTAAAACACATGTTTTTTGCCAACTCGACGTAAATCTGTGTGAATCTTCAAAATGGATCCAGTGACATTTGGTTGCTATAGTAACGTTCCAAGACTAGAGTTATAAAGTTACCGTGTAGTAGGAATAAGTAGCTGTAAAGCACAATCTATAAGACGTACCTCCACAAAATTTGCAACTCAATTTAATGAGATACGTAATGCATTTAGGTTGAAATATGTTAAAATATTTGTCTCCTTAAATAGTGCGTTGACAATGCAACAAGGTAAAAGTGGCCAGGATGCCAAACCCCATTTCATTCATTCATACAGCCAAGTAAATTAAAAGTTAGATCACGAGAATATTATATGCCTATTTATTGCATTACGTTATTATTGATTTAATGTTTATCATAATAAAATGTTCATTACAAAGTAAAACCGTTATTGTCAAAACACATGACATTCCTATATATTTTTCCCACATGACATTCCTATACATTTTCCCCACATGACATTCTTATATGTCTTTCCCACATGACATTCTTATATGTCTTTCCCACATGAATTCTTATATATTTTTCCCACATGACATTGTTATATATTTCCCCACATGACATTCCTATATATTTTCTCCACATGACATTCTTATATATTATACACATGACATTCTTATTAAATTTTCCCACATGACATTCTTATATATTTCCCCACATGCCATTCCTATATATTTTCCCCACATGACATTCTTATATATTTACCCATGACATTCCTGTATATTTTCCCCATATGATATTCATTATGTTCCCCCACATGACATTTCTATATACATGTATATATTTGCACACAGTACATAAACACGACCAAAATTGCATTTCACTAATGCTTAAAAAGACTAAATTTTAAAAAATAAGTTTAAGTATACATTCATTGAAAAGATAACCAATTTATATAGCCTACATCATATTTATATAAAACTTACATTCTCATCAAATATTAATTAATTATTTGTGTTCCCATATTATTACTTATATGAAAACAGGTGTAGTCTATATAAGCTTGCCATAGTTAGTGTCTAGTCTATTTGGGGTAACTTTCATGCTGCCTCTTTTACTGATTGGCAGAGTACTTCCTCTTCTAGAAGTATTATTTTTATTAACAGTGGAATTAACAGATAAACTTGTACTAGTAACAGAAATTGTCGGCACTGCATTAACAGGTTTATCTATAACCAATGTTGTCTTCGGCACCCTTTCCCCTTTCATGGAATTTCTGGCCATACTGACATTGACTACTTTCCGTATTTTATCTTGCGCCTTTTTGTTGCTCGTCTTAGGCGGTGCTGATTCACTTGGTTTATCTTTGTTTTTCTGGTTCGAATATTTGGTAAATTTTTGCTGTAATACCTTTAGTTTCTTCATAGAACTTTGTCTACAATCAAAGGTATTCTTCTTCATGAACCTCAGATGACGATGCAAGGTTGCCACATCTAGCATGACGATAATGATGATGATGGCAAGAAGAATTACAATACCAAAGAAACCGAACACTATAACTGACCCTCTGTTGTCGCTAGCACTTGTATATCTACGCCTACGCTTTGATGTACTTTCATCGTCGACTATTAAATATTGAAATTGGTCGGTAGTTGCCACACTATCTGTAAGATGGAAATAAGATAGAACATGTATTTGAAGGCGTGGACATCATTGATAATGATTTAGACTACCAAGTTATAAAAAAATTAATAATAGAAAATGTAACATTTAGAGAAAGAGGTAATGAAAAATGAAATTATTGAAAATTTCACTCAAATTACGTTATTTTAAGCGAATCTATGAATGTTTTATGTTTTGACAAACTTCATAAATTGTCTCCGTCGATTTGCGATTGACAGTTATGTTCTCAATTTCCAAGTACCATTGCCATGATAATAAACTATTTTCTATCATTTTACTGTTTTACTAGGGTCTCTGTGGGTGTCGGCCATATTAGCGTTCATTGTCTAAACTCGCCCAATATCTATGAGCTGATTATGGGCTTGTGATGTGAACAAATGTCTAATTATTATTTTATATAACATTTGAAGCTACAAAAACGCATGGCAATAGGGGGGTTGGGTGGCTGAATGGTTAGCGTGCGCGCACTGTATCATAAAGTCTGTCATTGAGTCGACTGGCGTGGTTTCGAATCCCCGGTTGTACGTGACAAGGAGTAGGGTCGCCTGCCCAACCTCGTGGGTTTTCTCCGGGTCCTCCGGTTTCCTCCCACAGCTAAAGACCCCTACGCGCAAGCGAATTATGTAAATAAAATTAAACCATATGTTAGTCCTGAAATGATCTAGTTTGTGTCGAGTGGACATTAAACCCCATTTCTCTCTCTCTCTCTCTCCCGCATGGCAATAGGCAAGTTTAGCCCCTTCATAAGTCCTCTTAATGCTTTCAAGACAATGTTAATTTTTTTTTTGTCTTTTTGAGATCAACTATATCCGTGTATAATGACCGTTTATAAAATATACAAATAAAGTTTATTACCTTCAGACCATTGTATGGTTAATATAGAAGCTGGTATGAATTCACCACCTATAGATGACAGAATAACAAAAAATAACAGACGATCAGTACAGTACTAATACAATATTATAATTAAGGCCCTTTGCTACAAACAAACAAAAACAAAATTAAGTGTCACATTGAAAATGACAAAACATATAATTATGTTAATCAATGTTCAAATTGCCTCCTTATTAAGTCTATTTATTCCTTGATTCTATGAAATAAAAAGAATTTTGTCACCGAAGATGGCTGGAATCTATTGTGTGAGCAGTGAACCTATGACTAGATTATTATAATGGTAAATAAATATATAAATATTTTGAGACAAGGAATATATTTGCTAATTCCATTTTCATTATACGGGGACCGACTGGAGGCTATTCTGTGCGCAGTGAACATACCCTAACCAGATTTTGTCAGGGTAACCATTATGATAATGGTAAGTAATTATATAAATATTTTGAGGTTAGGAATATATTTGCTAATTTCATTGAAATGACGGACATGATGTAGTGAAACGAAAAGATTTTTCGTTGCATTTTAAAAAATAAATTTACATATACATTCATTTCAAATCTATTGCCTACATCATACTTATACACCGTTCCATGCAAGATAATTTTGACAAGAGATTCATTTTGAGAAATTGTCCTCCATGGATGTATTATATTCGAGAAATCTGCTGCATACTATTTTAAATAAGTGAGAAAAAGAACATTAGTTATATCATAAAGAGACCATGTTTAAAGATACATCCTCGCGTACAAACTTGGTGATTTGATGATATATTTGGACTAAAAAAACATATTCAAACTAATTAATTTATCATAATTTTGCTTCAAATGGGTGTTTTTTCATGGAATCCAGTATTTTTCTAGTAAGATTGGATGTTTCGACTTTCCATATATTATACCATAATTGCCATAATTTTATTGGAAATAAACACCCGATAAATACTTTTCTTGGAAATTATCTTTGAAAGGTTAATATTTAACAGAAAATATTCACGGTAAAATGTTGCTTCCATTGTGAAAATGTCAAGATTAGACAAATAATATTGGATTTCACAATAAAATCGTGTCTGAAGGATGACGCAGTGAAACTGATCAAATTTGACCAGTTTGGTTTTCCATAGTAATAACGCGGAGGGATATTTGCTGTCATAGAAAGGGAGATCACCCTCTTTAAGCGTCGCAAACACTTTGTATTCAGCTTTTGTATTCTGTTTGCTATAAGAGAAGTGTTATTTTTCTCTTAAACAGACAACGTTAATCACGATTAAAATTCGGTACCATGTTTGAGACTAAGTGGTTCAAGAACTATAAACCACAGTAGCCACAAGTCGCCATCATTTGTCTGGTAAAAATGTACAAGGGAAATTTATAATGTGCAGTTATTTCAAAATAGATTGATTGTTGATAAACCACGATTAAGAAACGAAATGAAATGGAATGGGGTTTAACGTCAATCTTCTGCTCCGACTGGGCTAATGAAGACGGGCATACGCCATACAGTGTGCTATGAAGGAAGTTTTTCCCGGGCAGCAGCACTATGGCCTACTCTTATATCGAATTCCAACTGCCAGGGGATCTTTAACGTGTACGCCAATGTATACGCACGAGACCTTGGTTTTTCGTCCCATCCGAACGACTAGACAGCTGTCCTTGCCAGGCCCTCCATCCTGCACCACTGACAAAGAGGAACCACGTCGAAAAATCCCCATGAACCTTTTCGGTCAATGCAGGGGTCGAACACGCGACCTCCAGACTAGCGAGCCAGTCTTACCCGCTTAATCAGTGCGGTTAAGAGGAATTACGACGATAGACTGTACAATTCCTACATAAAGTGATACTAGCTAAAGTGATACAAGATTGAAACAGACGAAATGTTAATACATATTATGCACAACGCACTTTACACAACCCTTTGCTAGAAGTCAAAATCGTATACGCTTCTTCGATTTCGATAAATCAGACCGTTACTTTTCTCTTATGTCAAAATGCCTTACTATTATTTTCAAATAGACTTAAAATTGCTTAGACGGCACCATTCTGCAATTAAGTTTAAGGTGGGGAGAGCGCGCGGAGTTAGTGCACCCGGAAGCCATGAAAGTCTCGCAACTGCGCCCCGTGTGTCGCCTGTTCCACGCGATATATTATTATTAAATATATGTCTTTAATTTTAAAAGAGCTTGCCCTGGAAATTTTCATCAAAATCCACGAAAAGCTGAAAACATTACTGCTGGTTTCAAAAAATCATCTCTCGATTATATACATAGCCATTGTTACAAATTATAATATTGACTTCACAAACCTTTAAGTTACGGGATGGGGGACGCCACACGATAATAACACGCATAGAGAAGTATCACTGATACGTTTACATACCCCGCCATTCAAATCTGTATATTTTATTACCATAAGCACGACTTGTATAATCTAGTCTTAAAGTATTGAACTTGGTTGTTGCCACGGGAAAAACATAGTTGACACCTTTTGTAGAGTTTGGTCGAAATACCTGGCAAATAAAATACAGATCTCTGGTAACCACTGGTGTAAAATAGTTCAGCAGTGGGGACGATTTCGTCGTTGTTACAATCATTGTCAATAACCTTTGGGAAATTTGATTCTAGGTGCGTTCTATAGGGCACTACATATGAATGGTTTATACATGTACCTTGTGACTGTGTTAGTATATTAACGGTCGTGAGCAACACTGCACAAGGCTAAAACGCATCAAACATATTGCTATACAAATTTATAAGTTACAAAAAAAACCTATCCTACCTCTTCCTCTCCAAATTTATTTCTGTAAGGAAGTAATCCAGCGTAACATGTTTTCTCTGTACTTGTTTGAAACCGAACATAATCGATAGATGTAGAGGCTGTAAGACTATTCTCTATACCAATACCATAGATATATCTAGTTGTAGTACATATCTGTAATATTATTTATAAATAATTATACCAAAACCATAGGCATATTTAGTTGTAGTACATATCTGTCATATTATTTATAAACAATTATACCAATACCATAGATATATCTTGTTGTAGTACATATCTGTAATATTACTTATAATCAGTTATGCCATACTATAGATATATCTATAGTTGTAGTACATATCTGCAATACTATTTAGAAACAATTATACCAATACCATAGATATATCTATAGTTGTAGTACATATCTGCAAAACTATTTATAAACAATTATACCAATACCAAAGATATATCTGGTTGTAGTACATATCTGTAATAATTATTATTTATAAACAATTATAACAATATCATAGATATATCTGGTTTTAGTACATATCTGTAATATTTATTATTTATAAACAATTATATAATACCATAGGTATATCTGGTTGTGGTACATCTGTTATTTATAAATAATATAATAATAATCGTTTAAAACAAGATTACCGTCAGAGTTAATATCAACCCTCTATTTAATAAACATTTCAATTAATTATAAAAGCAATACTATAATTCAATACTATAAAATGCCATTAAGGTATTGCAAAACTGATATCAATTTATATATAATAATTATTTTAAAACAACGCTTCAATTTATATAATAATTGTTTGAATACAAGATTATCTTTATGATTCTACGAAAGAGTAATAGCGTCATTAAAATTTAAAAAAAAAATACATTATAATGGATTGTGCGTTAGCGCATCCAATCCGTGGAGCACATTCACTCCACCATGTCGCATTAAAGAATCCATTATATTCAACGCCTTGCAATGTATCTCAGAATGATAACGGATTGCAGAATCTTTATTTAACGGATTGCAGAATATATATGTTTTAACGGATTCCAGAATATGTTTTTAACAGATTTCCAAATGGGCTACAACGGAATTTAGAATGAACTATATAACGGATTTCAGAATGAATTATAACGGAGTTCAGAAGGCATTATCGCGGATAACACAATGCTTTAAAAATTCTTAATGGTACTAATACTCTTTTGTTGATACCAGTTTACATAAAACTAAAGTAAAAACAACATTACTGCTCTGTTATCAGCGACCACATTGTAGTAGATCATATTAGTAGTCTGTAATACCAGTTGATTATTCGGTAGATACGACACATCTGTAAATATTGCATGTTTATCAAATAAGAACATTTAAATTATACTAAAAATTAATATTTTAAACCTACAAATTTTAAATGACAGTACATATAATCTGAGTCCTGTTTCTCGAAATCTTAACTAAAGATAAAATCCAAATTTTAGTAGACACCTCAATTTTGATTGGCTAAGCACTAAAATCAATCTAATATTGCATCATAAGGTCTGTCATTGTGTCAACTGGCGTGGTTTCTATTCCCCGGTTTTACGCGACAAGGAGTAGGGCCGCCTGTCCAGCCTCGTGGGTTTTTCCGGGTCATCCGGTTCTCCCCAGTGCTAAAGATCCCTAAGCGCAAGCAAATTATTGAAATAAAATTGAACCATAGGTTAGTCCCCAAATGACCTAGTTTGTGTCGAGTGGACGTTAAACCCCATTTCGCTCTCGAAATAGGGATAACCCATGGGGTTAATCTTAGCAGGTGTGCTAAAATACCTGCACACTGGAGATTAGTGTTCAGATACCGGTATTTCTGCGTGGAGGGAAATTGGTAGACATGTATTTAAAGTTATTTAGAAACAAACTCTGTAGAAAACGACAGTCCTTAAGATAATTACTGAAAACGTAAGATGACAATTTAGTTGATTTTGTAGAAAGTTTCACAATACATATGATCAGTGTATTGTACTGTTTGACAATACTCGTGACCATTGTATTATACTGTTGGGCAATTTGTAATACCATGGACCGTATATACTTACCAGCTAACTTGGTTCTAGCTATTGCCCTACTACTCGAAAACGCTATTTCAGGTCCCGATGATGCAGTTAGCCAGCTAGTATGTAGCCACGTGTTTTGATCTTTTTGTTGAACTGATATGGTGTCTTGGTTAAATCTACAATTATTATTACTTAAAAGATTAGAATAGATGCATGCTATAGTAACCCAATTTCTGGATAAATTTTGAAAGACTTTATTTAACCTTTCTACGGTTCCTATTCGACTTTTTTCTGGCTGGTAAACAGTCGTCTTCTATTTCCAACTTTCGGTGCTGTTAAATCAGTTTTTGTTTTGCTTTGTTAATTTTTGATTTTACAATTTTCATTGTTTCTTAAATATTGGATACTATGAGCTCATATATAGTAAAAACATCAATATTGATTAAAATTGACCAATATAGAATTAATTTATTATCAAATATTATGGATGACACTGAGTTAGAGCTATACTCTCTTTAGACGGCATTCACCCTCCATAATAAACCATCTAAGAAATAAATATAAACTTTAACTGCAGACGTGAAACCAAAGTTTGTATCACATAGTTTTTTAGTTGGAGTAAATCTTTTAAAAAATGTTTGGAGAACTTACATGAGCACCAAGTTATTTTGAAGTTTTTTATCCATTATTGTAGTATCAAGCGATGATATTAGTCGTTCTACTGTAAACCAACTGGCAGGATCTTTCGTTGTTTCACTTCCGTTAAAGGTCATATGCCATAATAAGCCACCATTATCGTTATGTAGTGCTAGACGAATCTGTAGTCGATGATTATATTATAATTACTATTTAAAACAGCAACGATAATCAATTTAAAAACTAAAATTTAGAGAACCAATTTTGTGTTTCAGGAGGAGGTGGGTGTTTCAATATGTCAATGCTTGAAATTCTTTGTGATGACAAAAAAAGAGCAAGATTTCATAAAGATTTCCTTTAATAAAGTTTTGAGGCGTAGTAATAGAGTTCAAGGTACCTTAAATATAGACCTGGCTCCATATTCACAAAACATTCTCAGACTTAAGTTAAGAATTTACTCAAAATTGTTTCTGGATCAAAGATGTTTCTCAAAACTGTGACTGGAAGTTGAGAAAATGCTTAACTTAAATCTAAGAATGCTTTGTGAACTCGGGCCAGAACTGTCATATCTCAAAATATTGCATAGTTAGAAATCCGTGTTTTGTCTTTACCTTCAAATAAAAACTTCCAGAGCCATTTTAGTCTATACTAATATCCCTATAATATTTTCGAGACCAGTATTTTCAACAGAGGCAATGTGTAAATATGAACAAGCGAATGTCCCTTTATTTTCTGTACTGTTGGTAGTAAGTCCAGTTCTACGTTATACATTAATTCTAAATATTTACCTTTTTGGGCGTTCGGGTACTCCATTTATTAAAGATGTTACTTTTGTAGTTGCCGTCTGCCGCGATGTGACTTGGATTTCTTAAGTTCTTATCTGGATTAAGGTCGACATCATCGCGAAAACTGGCTGCTTCGTTATAAAAACTCCATATGTTTTCTCCTGTACCTCTTTGTACAAGAAAAACAGTTCTCCACACTACAATATAATTTTTAAAAAATGATATAAAGTGAAACACCACCCACGCATCATAGCTAGTAAGTACTGTCTAAATGGATTGCAGTGCTCAGAGATTGTTGATAATGGTGTTAAACAAACGTTTATTATATAAAGGATTTCAATGAATTAAGCGTGAAGTTTCGGGGTGAGCAAAGATAACAACAAGAAGACCATAGATTTACGGGAGCAAATCCGCAAAATATCACATTAATTTGGTATTACATATTCCAAGTAAATTTCAATACTTTTACATAAATATTTATGCGAATAAGAATATTTTAATACATCGAAAGCCTATAGCAAATAGGAGAAATTGATGATTTAAAAAATATTCCTACCATCAATACATGAGATATCGTATAATCCAATAATCTCCAGGATTAAGTGTAAAACTATATTAGATCTCTTCATATCTGTCGTTTTAAAACACCTCTTTGCAACAATTCATATACATCCTTATCTATAGGCGTACAAAATGTTATTAAGACTTTTCCAAGTAATTCAACTTTTTTTCTGGAACGTGTTGTCAACTTCGGTTAACAAAACCCATCTTTATAACAATTCATATATAACTTTATCTGTAGGTATAAGAAAATGTTATTAGCAACTAATTCGGGTTTTTTCCGGAAATGACTTTACCTTTGGAAATACTTTCTTTTTCCATAAAAAAAACCCAATGTTATTAAGACTTTTTCAAGTAATGCAACTTTTTTCTTGGACGTGTTGTCAACTCCGGTTAACAAAACCCATCTTTATAACAATTCATATATAACTTTATCTGTAGGTATAAGAAAATGTTATTAGCAACTAATTCAGCTTTTTTCCAGAACTGACTTTACCTTTGGAAATACTTTCTTTTTCCATAACCCCCCCCCCCCCCAAAAAAAAAACAAAAACACCAAGATGAGCCTGAACAAAAACTACCAAATAAAATTGCAATAATCTGACGCCAAAAACTGAACGACAGAATGATTACAAATGATTACCTGATCGTTGGACACAAATACAACATAGTATTGAGAATTCTGTACCAAAATAAATATAATTATAACTCAGGCTTGAAATCTTCTGTGTAAGAGTGCCCAGAACCAGTTAATTTATGATACCACATTAATAATCAATCAGCGTATCCTCTCAATCGACACCTTGCTATTTATTATATAATCAATATGGTATTGTATTAAAGTTATTCTAATCTTAACACAGGAGATCTAAGTGCTTTCAAAGTGATTAAACGCACCTTTTATCCCCATTACATATAATGTTCCTTTAATGGTATTCGGGTATTTTTTTATATATTATATATTGCTGTATTATTATGCTATTACGTTTATGTGTTGTATGCGATAACAGTTATATGCAACCATGTTCAAAATAATTCAAGATTAATTCTAAAAGTACGTTGATTCAAATTGCACTCAACGCCGTAAAACCAAGAACAAAATCTACATGATTTATTGATTAATTCTATTAGATGAGTATAATGTGCTGAATTCAATCACATTGGCTTTATCTCTTTATTTCATAACAGTACGCTATATATAATAAAGGATTTATTTCACATTCTAGTCTTTGAGATTGATATATTGTACTGATGGGTTTCTGAAAAGCATTCCGTTTGTTTAATTTCATTACCAAGAACACAAATTGACTATCCTTTCTTCAATGAAAGGCTGCCTGGCGCATGTAAAAGAAAACTTGACAGTTGGAAATCGCCTAAGATTCAGCAGAAACGCCGCTACACGCGAAAACATTCCTTTTCCCTCGCATTGCACGCGTAAACATTGAGCATATATGTTAGTCTCAGAAATACTGTGTTGCCACTCCATCTTGTTACCATGATGTCGTGCACTATGGAAGCCTACGCGTCAACGAGGTGCGAAGGCGATAAGCCCCGACAATGGTCCTATCTCGCCCCCCCCCCCACTTGCCTTCGCTTCGCTACGATTAACAGCGAAGTCAAAAAAGCAAGTAACCAGTGCGAAGCCAAAAAGTCGAGTCTGGCCTTCTTGGCTTCGTGCTGTAAACTCAAAGCGATGACCACGCTGGGCCAAGACCAGTCGGACCAGCCAAAGGCCACTAGGCCTAGTGGTACCAATATTTTGCTTTATCCATTCGCTTCATAATTAAAATAAAAGACTACTTATTTATTAACTCATAAGACCCCCCGAAGGAGATTACTTGCCGAATATCCCTTTTCTGGGACCATTTGTAAGAGTGGTAGGTTCAAGTAGCTTGACTATGGCATCTGTCTCACGTTCAGCACAATGTTTGCTTTGCTACGTTTTGGACTCGTAATAATAAAATATTTTACTAAATTTTGATTCGCGATGATGTTGCTGTACGTTCGCTTCTACAGAACGCATGTACTGGTTCTTTGTCCTCTATTGTAAGCATGGGCGTGCCCCCCCCCCCCTTTAGAATCGGAAGGGGGAACGAATAGGTCTCTGACCCCCCCCCCCCCATGATTTTGATCGCCAGGGCAGATTTTCAGGTTTATATCCACATGAGATTCTGGACAATACGATGGTGAACTTGTTTTTACGTATCCGGAACTGAATCGGGATTTGGAACAAGAATTGCCAATCTTTAAGCGCCAGTTTTCGGCCAAATCTATTTCACTTGTGCACGAAGCGTTCCTCGGTATGTCACCTGAAGTGAGACAGATGTTCCCTTCTATCGAAGCTCTTCTCCGTCTCACACTGCTGAACCCTGCTATTTCCTGCTCAGTCGAGCGACCCTTCAGCACTCTGTACCGTATCAAAACTTGGCTGCGCAACTCCATGGCAAAATGGGGATCACCATAGCTAAGTGGGTAAGACGCTGGCTCGCTAGCCGCCTGGACATCGGGTGTTCGATCCCTGCATTGGCCGAGAAAGTTCATCCAGATTTTCCGGTGTGGTTCCCCCTTGTCAGTGATGCAGGACGGAAGGCCTGGCAAGGACAGCTGTCTAGTCATTCGGATGGGACGAAAAACCGAGGTCCCGTGTATACATTGGAATGCACGTAAAAGATCCCTTGCCAGTTGGAATTTGATATAAGAGTAGGCCGTAGTGCCGTTGTCGGGGAAAATTTCCCTCATAGCACACTGTATGGCGTATACCCGTCTTCATTAGCCCAGTTCGGAGCAGAACAGTAGGACGTTAAACTCCATTTCATTTCCATGGCAAAATCGACTGAACCGCCTGATGGTATGTGCGGTGCATAATGACCTCCTTCATGATCAGGGCCCAAAGCATGTCGCCAAGATATTCATAGAGAACAATCCTGATCGTAGAATGAACGTCTTTGGGCGATTCACTTAACTTTGGGAAAATCCACGTCCGTGATTGTAAGGATATTAATTGGACATAGTTTTAAATCATTATGCATCTCAAGAACACCCTCCTACTTTTCTTCAGAAAGTGTATGCCACGCCTGTGTTTTCTCCAGTTCAAACATCCAAGTCAAGACGAATGACCTGGAATGTTTTATCAACACATTGAGACTGTGTCATTAACTCTGTAACATTCAATACGGTAAAGCAAGTGAATCTATTAATGTTTTCATTGGTTGTACCAGTGTGAAATAGTTGCTTTTATTAAGTCACACGCGTATTAATGACTTTGGTTTGAATACAAAATAAAATTGTCGATTTCACTTGATCTTTTATGTTGATTTATTTTGTGGAATAACAAACTGTCTTCCTTTGAAAGCAAATAAGGTAGTTTTGAGATTAAAATAAACAAGCACCCCCACCCCCTCTTCTATCCTCCCAAAATTTACCTAGGTTTCAACTTTCAAAACAAAAATGTAATCGAAATTAAACATCAGATCATTTCAATTTATTCCTACAAATGCCCTTAAACACACTGGCGAAACGAACAGTTGCTTTAAATCTTTCAGGACATTTCCCTGTGATATTTGATGGCCTGGGGAGGCAACGTTCCCTTATATATTATTACTATTGACTTGGTTCTGGTTTATACACGTACCCTTGACGAGTCTATGTTTTCAGCGATAACACTATCATCCCAAAAGTCATTCCTCTAATATGCTAGGTGGAATATAAATGGGACTAAATAGACATAGAAAGTCAATACAAAGCACACACTCGTCTCTATTAGCCAAATGAACAGTGAAAACTTATCTGGAATAAGCTGATTAAAATGCAATTATTATACAAGTCGTATCCACCTCTTTGAACTTATATAGTAGTTAATCGATTAGGTTCTAATCCGACGCTACCTAGTTAATCAATAAGTTTGTTCTTACGTGAATACATAATTAAGATAGGTTGGTCTGCCTGATCAGATTATTCCTTCATGCTAATTTACCTTTTTGTGAAGTGAATATATAAAAAAAAAATGAAAAGTATCCAATCGATGATGTCGAATAATACAATGTCAGTAAAAACAAAGGCTGCCAAGCAATAAGGCATATACCCACCAGCACCTAATTATATAAGTAGTCCGACAGTTAATATTGGGGCAGCCAGGGTAAACCTCTTTCTAATCTTGATACAAGCACTAAGATTTGCTAGGGTCTTTATTAAGAAAATCCCGTTTTCTAAGATGGGTGTCCTTTTCGGTTTTTCTTTTACAGAATTTTACCCACTGGACCGATTGAGAGAATTTGTATACACGCACATTTATATTGTCATCCATGTCCGTCCGTCCGTACACATTTGTTTGTAGACAATCTGGAGATCACAATTTTTATCCGATTGTGATGAAACTTAAAGTATATGTTGATATCCAAGAAATGGAAGATCAAAAAGCTCTCTATTCAGCAGTGTTCTTAATTCTTAGTTCTAAGTTCACAGTCCTTAAATCTTATTTCTTCATTTGTTGTCGTATTTCGACATTTGTACACTAAAATTAACATTTGTATCTTAAAATCATTATTTGTTTTACAAGTTAGACATTTGTCATATCAGATTTATAAAATGTATTTTTGATGTAATTTTATTTTAATATAAAGACAAAATGTATTTTAGTAAATCAAAAAAATAATCCATATTTACATTTCATCATAGACATACAACGAAAAACAAATCTCGAACAACAAATTTCTAAATACAAATCTCCAAATACAAATCTTGCAAAACATTTGTCTTCAATAACATTTCTCGAAATCCATCTAACCGGAATATCATGACGACATGAGCGAAAATCATAATGGCATACATTTTTCTATAATAACATCTATAGGGTTATTATCCTATATTATAAAGCAATAGGATTCTTCCATCCGATAGGATAGACAAACAGTAAAAGAATTCAGAAAGATAGGGCATTAACTACAGCCTGTAAAATTCTAACAAGATTCCATAATAAAGTGGAATAATACTGAGGTGATTATTGAAAAATATTAAAAATCAACAATTTTTTGTCCCATCTTAAAGATTAGAGGCTAATCCTTGCTAGGACCCCCACCCTGCACCAATAAACGCACCTGGATCGAACCCGGGACAGTTTCGTTAGAGAGCCAACCGTTTAATGAATATTTGAAACGTTTATATTATCAACCATATCTATGTAAAAAAAATAAGCAGTTAGTTTCTTTATGTCGCTCTTGGAATTGTATCCAGGAGCACCTACATTATTTGTTTAATAATCTGGGAAGTTATTATTTTAAAAACATTTGCAATGCTGCACATTAAAGTCATGTTGGTATAAATAAAAAAATATGGCGATAGCAGAAGATATATTTAAAGAAAATGAATTCTTTGTTGGAAACAAATTATTATAATAATTTGTTTTAACAGATAATTTATGCATTGCGTGTAATGACCTAACAGGCGACCATATTCGTACACAATGCCGGTGCATAAAATTATAGTATTTCTGAATGGGTATACTTATATGCCTTCGGCAGTGGGATAGATGCTGAAAACCTAAATAAAAAGCTTAAGGATGACGCGATTGATTCGATTCCAGTTGGATGCAGACCACCAATTTTTTCCTCCATCTTACTCAGTACGAATGTATTTATTCTCTGTAGATGTGGAAGAATAACGGAGCTAAGACATCAGTTACGGTGATATGTACGACAGATAGTTATATCTTTACTACTTTTCTAC